TTTTTTTTTCTTTTTACATACCTTCTCGTAAAGAGTGTAGACAACTTCCTTATTATTACGAAACCACTCCGGAACTGTCAGATTATGTTGATCCTAAGATATCAAATCAACCTAATAGAACAAACATTAAAGTATTTGTACAAACCCTTTGAATAAGTGCCTCAACTTGCGAAAATGCTTTGGCATCGCGCAGTACGGAATTATTCCGATTTAAACCGATGCATTCATAAATGAAACCTTCATACTCGGGCCACTGAAAGATCTGTCATAACGTTGTTTTTAGTAAATAAAACTTCAAACTGCACACAGATTTGTATGATGGTGGCATCCTTCCGCATGCCTTGTCTATTCGTCTATTTTCCGTGTTGCACCCTTGCATATGTGTCAGAATCTATACGGTTAATTACTTCCATTTGATCCACTTTTCTAAATACCAACCTTATCGTCTTTCTCTTCTGAGTGGATAGGGACTGGCTGAAATTGATCATCTTCGCCTTTCGCCCACATTCCTGATCCAATCAGAGCAGCACTTTGAAGGCAGCGACTATTAGCTCGGCTTCGAAAATAAACCTATGGAATAGCTTCAATGAAAAATCTATCAGTGCTAGAATTATCACCTCTGACGGCAGCAAAGGCGATCTTAGAAATCCTGATTTGACGTAGCGTTCTCCTAGATACTGTCCTAGTTTGAACGTCTGCTTGATGCCGAGCTAAACGTAGCGATAAAGTTACCGTCTTCGCGCATTTTCTTGTGTTTGTGTTGTTCCAATGATACAAAACAAAAGTTCGACAAAAGCACTGTTGCGCCGGCTTATATAATTTGGATGAGGGTGTTTGCTTGTCTGCTGCTCACAAAATTAATTCCCCTCTATGAGAAAATTTGAAAGAATCCGTTCATTAACGCATTTGCGAATCTACTCAACGGTCAGGGTTGGCGGTATTTGGTCGAAATCACCATACATGTGGTCTTGACCATTGGTAGGGGCCAAATTCACATGATATTGGGATGAATCCAGTTTGAACGGGAGGTAATCTTAATCTCAGATTTCCATTCAGTCTCTACTTTTTGGAACAGATTGTTCTAGTAATCATTTTTATCATATGATGCCGTTATGGCATACGACCAAACTTGCGGTTCGGTCAGAAATCCTTCCCCTATATAACTTACCAGTGATCATTCTCAACGGTGATCATTTGTAGAAGCGAGCTATCAATGAGATGACTAAAGAAGTACAGAACTTTTGAATGGATCCATCACAGTAAAGTGATTCAATGTTTTGACTTGACTGCGGTGTATCTTTCGCGCAACACCATTTTTATTTCCAAACTAGCTGGCATACCCGGCTTCGCTCGGCTTTTTATGTTTTCTTCGCTGTTTTTTGCATCTGACTAATCTATCTCATCTAATTCTGCGTTGACCGCTCGCATTTGTGTAGGCATGATTTAACGCATTCATTAAATAGTACTTGAAATTGAGCGTATGTAGTATGTGGCGAAAGTACACAAAAAAAAGTGCAGCTATCTCGATAAGATCGAACAGCATTTGGCGTTATGTGGTAATAGGGTCCAATTTTGAAACTTTAAAGCGTTGGGAGTGGGACCTGGCACTTGCTAGCAATATATGTACCGCGTTTAGAACTTTTCCATTTCCTAAACTAACTGCCAAGAAAAGACTGCGCAACTTAGTTATTTTGCCCCACACCTCCCACGCCTCTCCCATTGATTCAAATAAGCAACGACTCCGCATTAACGTACTTCCATTCAGTAACCACATTGGTTTGCATGATCTTGCTTAAGTAGTCTGATAA